TTTACGTGTGTTACGACACAGTTAATTCATCTTTTAGACCCATCACACGACATTTGGACAGCACCAGAACCTGTGAAGGCGTTCTGCTTCCATCGCACCTGTTGGTCACCTTTAATCAGCCGCCTGCTATCATGCAACGTTTCGTCCAGGTGCTGCCTGTTTGGGTCACTTCGGTTCTGTAGGAGGTTCTACAGCTCGGCTCTGGACAGATTGGGTTCAGACTGCTGAATGTGTGCAGATAAAGGGCCCGGGCCACATCCACAGAACCACATCAACAGCTGATGTGGTTCTGTGGTTCTGGGTTTGATGCTTTCCTCACACATCTGGTGTCAAACTGGATCCTCAGAACCACTTGTGGACAACGACTTTGGCCTGAATCTGGATTAAATTCACCTGACTGGAGCAGCGTTGTTATTTATTCTCATTACTTCCACTAATTATCCTGTTCCAGCACTCTATGGAACATGGTGCAGTCTAAACGCTGGACCAGCTTTCTAATTACACTGAGATTAAGTGGTAATTTCATTTTCAGACTATCTTCAGCCAAAGATTGAGAGCCTGGTAGGATTTTTTTTTGCCTCCAAAACCTGTGCTGTCACTTTCAGCTCTCTGTCCTGACAGAGCTCACTTGTACAAGAGTCTATTTATCTGTTTCTATAAAGGTTGAATTGAAGCAGGGCTGACACGTTACCCACTTTTAAGACTCAAGACCTTAATTTTTGATCAATCTAGGGCTGGTGATATGGACCAAAGTTAATATCTCGATATTTTAAGATAAATCGCGATATACAATATATGTATGGATTTTTTTGTTCCCATAAAGTAATTAAAAAAAATCTATTTCTGAGTCAAAACTTTGTCCCAGTTGTCTCACAGTCACATTTATTAACTGTACAAAATAAATGTCTAAAATTAAAGTATTTACATTTTCTCTTCTTCATCCCTGATCTGCTTTAAAGGCCTTTTCATTGGTTTGTTTTTCCGAGAAACAAGCGATCTCTTCCTCCTCCGTTGATGCCATGACTGAAATGAAGGAATTTGTCATGAACAAATTTAAATCAGGTCCAGCGTGGCTGCGGGAGGTCTGGAGATTTCCTGGTGGACTGGTCTGATGTGTGGGCTGCAGGGCCAGTGCTCCCTGTTTTTTATTTTTCACAACTTTTTATTGACATCATATAAACACAGAACACCACTGCAGCTGGGGCTGCCAGCTCTGTTTTTTGTTTTTGTTTTGTGACCTGTCAATCAATCCAGTTGGCGTGTCAGCAAATGACCAATCGGCGACCTCAATTTGTCCCGAAGGTAAACGCCCCTCACCTGTGGAGCTGCTCTGCAGCCGCTCAGGGTGGACGCTCGAGTGCGACCCTCTGTGGACAGTGTCTGCATGGACTGAGGTCGGCCCGAGTCTGTGGAAGTCTTAAGTCTTGCTTCCACAACTCTCTCCCAGATCTTCATCGTGTGGCTCATCAACCTAACTCCCTGTAGTTTCAACTCTGAACATCACCTTGTTCTTAAAAATGGCCACCAGCTCTTCTTCTCCACTCCGCAGACATTTTCTCACCCTCACATATGCCATTGAATATTTGAGTCAAAAACTTAATCTAATCTGATTTAAACATTTTCTCTGACCTCAGCTGCTCAGCTCCACTAAACGCCCGACTGTGTGTGTGTGCGTGTGCGTGCGTGCGTGCGTGTGTTCCAGCAGGAGCATTGGTTTGAAAAGGCTCTGGGGGAGAAGAAAGGATTTGTCATTAAGAAGATGAAGGAGGACGGAGCATGTCTGTTCAGGGCTGTGGGTGAGTCTCTCTCTCTGTCTCACACACCCACACGCACACACGCACACACGCACACACCTGGTTTCTCCTCAGGTGAGTCCCTGCAGTTCCTCTTGTCGGCAGCAGGTGTCAGTGTTTGTTAATATTCAGATTTTTATTCTTCGTGCCGCTGCTTCCTTCTGTCTGGCAGCTGTAGATGTGTGGTTTCCATGGAAACAGTTTTAAAACAATGATTTCAGAATATTTGTTTTTATTTTATTAACCTTTATTTAAGCAGTTAAATCTTGATGTGATTTAACTGTTCGTCTCTGGTCTGTCGTTGATCCTGAACATATGTCAGACCGTCCGGTTTGTGTTTTTGTTGGTCCGGTCCGTTTAGTGGATCTGGTAGTTGACATGTGCTGAGTGTCGGCGTGAACTGAGACACACGTCACTGCAGGACTCTTGAAAAACACCAACTACAGAAAGACGAGTCCGCTGGACTCTGTCAGGTTATTTCTGGTTCCTCTCTTTATTTCCTGTGCTCGTTTCACAGAAGTCTGTATCTCTGTGTCTGTAAGGATTGTTGGTGACCACTTGGACCTCACACTACACCTGAGTCAGCTCTCAAGCTTTTGTGTTAAAGGTGCTTTCACAGCAAATGGACCACTTCCTGTTTCTGTCTGACAGTCCAGAAAACTGTCCTGGAAGACTCCACAGCCTCAGATGAACTCAAAGGACTTTTACAAACATTAACGAAACGTTCAGACTTTGTAGAACAAGATGCTTGGAGTGGTTATTTGTTCTGCTGGTAGCTGGAGTTGGACGGTTTAATGAAACATTTCATTAACAAACGTGATGAGCAGCTTGTCAGGTCCAGGGATGACCAGTCCTGGTCCTGGAGGGCCACTGTCCTGCATGATTTAGATTGTTCTCTGCTCCAGCACACC